AAAATGCGAATTCGCAAGCTTCCTGATACGAGTGGTCGTTCAGCGCCAGCATCTCGTAGTCTACTCGCGCAGCGCCATCATGTGACAGCGGAGGCGGAGCGCGCACTCGACGGCCATGAGAGAGCGTTCGCCCGGGCACTAAATAAAAATAGAGGAGGCGCTGGCTGAATGGACAAATACAGCTGTGGCCAGTAGTACTTTTGTCGTATGCGCGCTAATGTCTGAGCAAAGCCTAAGTGACCGGCAGAAAGAGCGTCGTGGCACGCCTGCAAAACTTCCCGGCTCATGCAGTGCCGTTGGAACGGCAAGGAGAAAATCTTTCTGGCTGTTCTCAAGATTTATCTTGTAGAGAATATTGTTCCGCAGAAAATAAGATGTTAATCCTCGCGAGAGCGGACGTGAGACAATAGTATTTGCTCTTTGAAAATACTGGATGACAGAAAGTAACTGTGTCCTCAAGTTGAAGTTCAGCCATTCGCACCACATCGACGATGCCAAGAAATGGCAAATCTTGTTCATTGTTGGATGACGTCCGGGAAATAAGAGCATGAGACAGGCAATTGGCATCTGTATGCTTATGTCCTGATCGGTAGACCATCGTTATGTCGTACTCTTGAAGGCAGAGGCTCCAGCGGGTGCAGTGGCCTGATGGATCCCCTAGATTGGCAAGCCAACAGAGCGAATGATGGTCACTGACCACTCAAAATGGCCGGCCGTATAGGTAGGGTTGAAACTTGCTAATAGCCCAAATGACCGCTAGACACTCTTCTTCAGTGGTAGAGTAGCTAGCCTCTACTTTTGCGAGACTGCGGCTCGCGTAAGCGATCGCATACTCTGCGCCGTCCTGCTATTAAACTAGAATGGCTCCGATTCCTACGTCGCTGGTGTCCATGTGAATCTCAGTTTCGGCAGTGTCGTCAAAATGTGCCAGCAGTGGAGCTGTCTGCAGTCGATTGCGTAGCTTTACGAAGGCTTTTTGTTGTTCTTCCGTCCATATGAAGGGCACATCTAATCGTGTTAACCTTGTAAGAGGTTCTGCAATTTTCGAAAATCCTTTAACAAAATGGCGGTAGTAGGCACAAAGCCCAAGGAATCGCTGAACAGCCTTCTTGTCTCCGGGAAGAGGGAACTCGGCAACGGCAGCCAACTTTTCCGGACCTGGTCGAACACCCCCCGGGCTCACCACGTGGCCGAGAAACTTGAGCTCCTGATTGCCAAAGTAGCACTTTTCGGGCTTGATAGTAAGGTTTGCTCTCCGTATTGCAGTGAGAATGCTGTTTAGCCTCAAACGATGTTCGTCGAACCTGCTTGAAAACACCACATCATCGAAGTAGACAAGACACGTCTGCCACTTTAGTGCAGCAAGTACAGCCTCCATCATGCATTGAAATGTGGCAGGAGAGGAACAGACCGAAAGACAGCACTTTAAATTCATAAACCCAATCAGGAGTCACGAACGCGGTTTTCTACCGGTCACCCTCGTCAACTTCAATTTGCCAGTACTCTGACATTAGATCTAATGATGTAAAAAATTGGGCATGGTGTACACGGTCTAAGGCATCATGAATCCGTGGCAGGGAATAAACGTCGCGTTTTATGACTTTGTTAAGCCATTGGTAGTCGACGCAGAAGCATAGTGTGTTGTCTTTTTTTTACTAGGACAACAGGTGACACACACAGACTTTTCGAGGATTGAATGACGTCATCATTCAGCATCTCTTGAACTTGACACCTAATCACCTCTTTTTTCTACGGGGAAACACGGTATGAATGTTAGCGAAGAGGCCGCGCCGACTCCTCGTAACAATGCCGTGTTTTTAATGGTAGTACGTTGAACTTTCGATGCTGTGGAGAAGCAGTCCGAGAATTCCATCACAACGTATAGCAGCTGCCTTTTTCGTGGATCTGGCAAGTCTGAATTATTGTGAATGTGCCTGCCCAGGTCAGCACAAGCTTTTGCATCCGGTGAAATTGTATCCAATGTGTCGATATCGAAAAAGTCGGCAACTTCACTGAGGAAAGCGACAGTGGTGTCTCTAGGGTCGTGCTGAAACTCATTGCTGAAGTTGGTTAGCAGAACTTGAGAGCATTTATTCTGTAAGCGAACAAGGCCACGGGCTATTCAGAGGTTTCGTTTGAGCAGCAGCAGGATATTTGGCTCTGCGATACCTTCATAGTCGTTGAATTTATCGAAAGCGTCACATGTTACCAAATTCAACACGCTACTCTTCGGCGATAACGTGACGTCATCATCGACAATCTTCAAAGCATTGACATAACTGTCTTTGGGGTTGCGCGCTAAAGCATGCGCCGCAGAAAACGTCACCTGCGACTCTTGCAAGTCAATTATGTCTCGGTTATCATGCAGAAAGTCCAGTCCGAGACTTAAGTCCCTGAAGCAACTCGGCAGTAATACAAAAACTCCGAGATACGCAAATCCGTGAATACTAACTTGCGCATCGTCCCACTGAAGGGAGGAGATGGCCTCCTGCCGTACGTACTTGGGACCCAGCCCACTAGGTAGAAACCTTCTTCAGCCTGCAGGCAAGACCCTTGCTCATAATGGAAGTGTCTGCTCCAGTGTCGATTAGCATCATTACTTTGTCGTCCACTGTTACCGCAATGTTTGATGTTACCACTCTTCGTACCACGTTTGACTGCGTCTGTACATCTTTTTGCGGCTGTCGCTGTATCGTAGCAAAGGATCTTCCGTACAGTCGGCAGGAGTGGCCTCACCTCTGGAGGTCGTTGAACTCAATTTTTCCCAACCTGCAGGACTGGGTGAGCAGTGTCTTGGAGCGCCGCGTGAATAGGCTGGGCTTGGTGACCTTTAGCGAGCAGGCGACGACGAGTGGGGCTCGCACGACCGATGTTCGTTGTTGCAGCTATTGGAGATAAAATTCTCCATTTCCAGTGGTCGCTCGCCAGGTCGTGGACAAGGGACATTTAAAGAAAATCCACAAAGACCCACACATTGGTATGGGCATGTTACGTAGGCGTGTCCGGCTTAATTGTCGGCAGTGTAAACAAAGGGGCCTGTGGCAGGGTGTACGCCAGATGTCACTCTTCCTAAGGTCGTGCTTCTGCGATCAACTTCGGGCTGCGAGGACTGAAGCCTACCTCCATTTGCTGAGCGCGACGCTTATTGAGGTAAAACATGCTGGGTGCACTGCACGATGGAGGATGGCGCGCTGCTTCCTCCTAACTTATTTCGATGCAGTGCCGCTGTAGTGGCGCTTCAGACTGTTGGGGAGCGTGAATGGCTTGCCGTAGTTCGGCGCATACGTTCTCCGCAACGGAGAGCTGGCCTACAGGTGAAGCAGTCACATGCATTTTTTTAGCTCCTCCTTGATGAGAGCTATGATGAACTCTCGCAACGCGCTGATGTCATTGCAGAGAGTGACAGACGTGACCTCATTTGAATGTACATCACGATTGTACTGCCTGACACGCTGTTGAAAGGCCCTCTCCATGGCAGTGGCTTCCTCATGGAACTCCGCAAGTGTCGCAGGCGGGTTTTGAATTAAGCGGGCAAAAATCTCTTCTTTGACACCATGCATTAGGTGACGAACTTTCTTGCATTTGGTCATAGAGGGCTCCGCACGCCTGAAAAGCTGATCCATGTCTTCTATGTAGGTCGTCACCCTTTCGTTAGGGCCTTGAACCCTTGCCTCTATAGCACGCTCTGCTGTTTCATACCTGTCCTCTCAGCCAAAGGCCTTGAGGAACTGCCATACGCTCTTAAGTCCAATCGTTGATGAGGGCGACCCGGTCTAAATGCTCGAGCCAGTAGTCAGCGTCTTCAAAAGCAGCTTCGTGAAAAGTCTTTGACATCTTGGGTTGGCTCACAACCAGGTGCGCTAGTGCTGGCGCGGTGACTTTAGGGGATCTTATGCTCTAGTAACAGAGCAAGACATGAATGGGAGTGGCACAAAACACATTTTAAACATTCAGTAGTACACATGAACAAGACACATTGCATGTTTCCTTCTTAAACGTCATCTGCTGTCTCGTAAAAAAGAAGTACAGGTGTAAAATGAAAACACATCTCGTTTATACAATCATAGCAAAAGTTGTGAAGAAAAATGTTTTATCTATAGTATTTACGAAATTAGTGGGAAGATGCATAGGCAAGGAAGAAGAGGCTGGCGAAACTGCTTTTTCAAATACATAGGACGACACGATTATCATAGACCTCGATAATTTTCTAATAGTAATGCATGCATTGTATAAGATGATGGTTGCCACTGCTGTCGATTGTCATATAGACATATGTCACGATTTTATAAACAGACAGTATAGCAGAAATAAATAACTGACACATCCCACTCAGATACAGCTTGTATTGACGGAACTTAAAAAGTTCAGAACAAGAACTTGTTTTTACCAAAACAGAAAAACCTGGCGATATCTGTGTAGCAAAACATGTTGCACATCAATGGAAGCTTCTTATTAGTTTTAAAGCAACTGAACTTTATGAATATTGGCTGACATGCGTTCAGTTAAAAGTAGCTCGATAAATGTGGCACCCCTTGGCCACATAAAAATATAGTCCTTTGAAATTCAAGGTAGCCGATACCCTGACAGAAAAATCGAAATAATCAATGGAGCAACTGCTCAGTGTTATTCGCACAGCGCAGTGACCTCCTATTCACAACCAAGCGATAAATATTGATGACGAAAGAAATGCGTAAGTCTTCCAACTATGCTCTGTTCAGTTCCTTGCCATTTATTGTCCTTTCGTCCATTGGACCATAAATAATCAAACTGCCTTGGCACATTTATTCTTATTCATTCAGTCCAGATTCTGATTGTTTGTATCTAGATGTGCGCTTCAGATTGTCATGAGCTGCTCTGCATAACTGTGTAGTGTTTGTCATTAAAGTATTTCAATTATTGTGCGTGCCACTACTTTTAGCATCTCAGCTTTTTTTTTGTTTGATCTGCAGCGAATGTAGCTTGCAACTTGATACTTTGTATCGAGTGGATATGCACATTTTTTGAAAAGTGACATCGCAGAAATCATTAAGGAGGAAGTTGATTTTTTGAAGGTATTCATAATGAGTATTATGACCGGGTAGCCTCTATCTCACAAGAATATAGCACAATAAATGTCAACAGAGGATTCAGATACAATATTAATCATACTTGTGGGCACATGAACAGCAGCATGCACAGGGAATGCAATCTTTTAGTGTAGAATGACAAATGAGCACAAACCTGCATCACGATTGGAGAAGCAACTAAGCGCCATACTGCCACAACAGTTTACATGCCCAATGGAGTTCTCATATGCAAATTGAGCAGCATATTGAAGTTGCCAGTTTTTACTCGAGACTTTCCCAATGTGGTTCAACTTCAGTGAACAAGTTCACCAGGTGAGGGTGCGTCCAAAAGGGGTAAACTGTTGACTATGTCGGCAAACAGCAATCGCAGGATGTTGGCTGTGACGACCGTGGAGCAAGTCATGATGCGAGGTGATTGGTTGGCAACGAAGGCCTGCATTATGAAGAGAAAGTCATTAGACCCATATGTGTAGCACTCCTCACATGTTCACTTATCAATCACAAAAACAATTTTTAAATAAAAACACTTCTCTAAAAAATGTACAGAACCAGCTGACAAGACGTGTCCGCTACAAGAGGTATTCAAATGAAAAAGTATGAAGGGCAACAACATGACCATTGACATAGTTGCCTATGCTGCTATTGGAGAACGTAGCAAGACACCTAAAATGAAGGATGGGATTAATGTCTCTGCCATGAATCGGACCATGTGGGGGTGCTCCCATGCGCAGGAAATAGCAGAGACTGTTTCCTGCGCAGCCCTATTGATGCGGCAGTGAATTAGAGGTCAGAATGGCGTTTACATTACAAAGTCTGAGAATGAGGGAGTAGCGTTGCATTGTCAGATTTCTGTCAGCATCAGGTGCTAAATTGGTCACCATTCAGCACCTATGATTTCCATGCCTATGAAAAACACCAGACAGGGAAACGCTTCAACTCGGATGGCAAACTCGGGAACCCAGTGAAACACTAGGTCTTGTCACAGATACAGGAATTATGGGAGCAAGGAGTCCTCGTTTCGTTCATTACTGCAATTGTTGTCATCAGACACATAGTGTATTGGGACGCAGACAGCGTTCTCGTTGACGAGCGCCACGCGAGAGCTCAGCTAATGGGCATCTCTTGCGGACGAATGTATACATTGCCAGTCCCCAGTCATGGCAGCCCGTCCGCCGCCCGAAGAGGTTACGTAAGTGCTGCAGTGTCATTGCTCCGTGACGTGGCCGTTGCACGTCTCCTTGGGCACTCACGGTCCACCATGACCTAGAGCTGCACATTACACAGGGTCTTACGGGAGGCACACGCACAAACCTTGGCGTGGCAACCGCTCTCAGTGCACAAAACACGCTTCGTCACAGCTTGGGACCGTCCACAGCCACGAAGTCCCGTTCGCCGTTGCCGGGTTGCCCCTTCGCCGAACGTGTCACACGGCGCTGAATGAAGGTCGCCGTCCTCAGAGGCTGCTTCTGCGTGGGTTTCTTCTCTGTCTGGCTTTTGTGGGGGAAGGTTCTCTCACAGCACACGCACGCTGGAACACTCAAAGATTCGCCAGGCCGCGGTGTAGCTGAGCGGATTGGCGGAAACGTTTATACCTTCCCGCCGTCCACACTCATATTGTGTGTCATCGCAAAGACAGCGCATTTAATTTTCGGCATTGAAACAATTATTTACCGCCATGTACGGCTGACTAGGGCATTACAATCGTGGGTGTTTCAAGTATATCTTAGGTTACTAATATTTTGAACTTGTGGTAATCCAGGCGTCCGCACCAGTTGCTTGACGTCATTTTCCCTTGAAGAGTTCTCGTGTCACTCGCCTCCCGATTGGCGGGATTGCAGCCGGTCATAAATTGTCGTCACTTTCCTGCTCTCCCGCCCCTAGAAGGTTTCACACGGTGTCCCATTGGCCTGATTTTATGGGGATTCGGGTCTTGCAATGCTCGCGCTCGCCCGACAAGTGGAGGCGTAAGACGAAGTTCGGAAATAGTTACTGTATATGCATATACAGTAACTCTATTCGTGGAGACCACTTCGAAACATCAGAGGGTGCGTATGCATTTTGGTTTCTGCGACCGGCGGCGATCCATTGTTCTTCGTCGCCGGCCGGTGGTTACGTCACCATGGCGGGCGCGCGCTTCTTTCCGAAGTCTTGAAGCCTCGAGGCAGCGCCTCGCAATCGTGCAGCGTATGTTCCTCTCATCTGTTTTATTGGTTCTGTTCCTCCTGCTCTGGAAGTGTCCAATCACAGGAGCGCTGGCGGAAGTGTCTAGGTCGGCGCGTCAAACTTTGTTCTTTGTTTTATAAGTGCAGCACTCGCGGCATCTAATCGATATATTTTGTTACTTGAATTGGCTATTCGGTGTCCTGAATAATTGTTACATAGTCGACTGGTTGTACTATATTATTTACCTCACTGTACTTAATTCTCTGTTAATAAACCACCTGCGGGCTCACCGTCCCGTCGTGGCGATGGTCTGAGCTCCCGTGTGATGCAGTGCGACTGCACGAAAAGATAAACGAGGACTCGGCGCCCTATATGAACTCGTAGTACTCGAACTCGAGGTAGTGTTTGACGGGTACGGCTGAAAGCATGCCACTTCGTCCTTGTTATTATTTATGTGCTCATGGGAACAAATACAGCTCGGTAAGAGAGCACTATGGTCGGTAACGGTAAATTATTAACAAAGACAAACTGTGACATATTTTTATACTGTTCTCGTGTGTTACACGCCCTTTAGTGTATGTATGTACTACAGCACCTCTGATTATTTCTTCGGATTTTGTTCTTCTTATTCTTTTTAATCTTTGTATGTATCTTTGATGTTCGGTAAGCCGGCTCTACCTTCCCTATTTTTGCATATCTTTATAAAAACAAAAAAGCAATGCCTCAAGCTGTGACATCAAATCAATGCCTAGCCACGCGGCAATTGATAAGGCATCTTTCATATTTAATGATGATGACGATACTCCCGGGATGATTGGCGCCTCATATATGTAGTGGCTGCCGTAGCACCTACTAACGCAGGAGTATCGGCCAAGAATCGGGGGGATCATATAGCGTGAAAATTTTAACTGATGCTAGACGTTACAGTGTCAATTAAAATTAAGGGTTACCTTGATATACATCCCAACTTTAGCAAATCATGTTATTCATTGTCACTTGTATGTATCTTCAATGGTACATCCCCCTGAGTGGCACATACCCACTCTAGGGACATGCCAAGAAAGCGTATTGTAACCTTTCGATAATAACTACATATTGAAAAAATAAAATAAAAGTAAAACTTAGAGAGGGAGAAAAAAGAGTACTATAACAATAACAACATTGTGAAATTTCCAACAGACCAGACAGCCGAGCTTAGCTGCCCGAATTCCGACAGTTTTCTTCTTCGTCTTTTGATACAGAGGCTGATTAAGATCTGGCGTCACAAGAAACCTGGTCGCGGACGTGCGTTCTTCGCGAAGCAGCTTCCAGATTGTTCCTCAAAACACGATTTCCACCACAAACCCACGTCGCACTTTGTTGTAACAGCTCTCGAATTTTTTATTTCTTTGTTGAGGATTGGATATTTTCCTTGTTAGAAGCACTGCATTGTGATCAACAGACCACTGGAATCGCCCCACCGCAGTGGTCTATTAGCTAAAGTACTCGGCTGCTGACCCGCGGGATCGAATCCCGGCTGCAATGGCTGCATTTTTGATGGAGGCGAAAATGCTGTAGGCCCGTGTGCTCAAATTTGGGTGCAATTTAAAGAACCCCAGGTGGTCGAAATTTCTGGAGTCCTCCATTGCGGCATCTCATAATCAAAGGGTGGTTTTTGGGACGTTAGAGTACACATATATACCATTGACCACGGGAATCAAGAGTACAATGCTAACAGCGCTATCACATTTATGGCGAAGTCTGACATCATGAAGTAGTACTGATAGTTGGGTGGTTGGTAAGCAGCATTTTTGGGTACAGTGCGAGACTGACGAAGAAAGCATTGTAAAAAGACACAGACGAGTGCTCGTCGTTGTCCCTTTTGTAGTTTTCCATCTTTGTCGGGCTCGTGCTGCAGCCAAAAATGTTGACATGATGTACTGATATGTGCAGGGTTGCCAAATTCATGAAAATTTCTCAGATTAAGGTAATTTTCAGGTCTATGTGGGAAAAAAGGAAAGTTTGCCATTTTGTGGGAAATTTCGCACTTTCCAACCCATTTCATTTTCAAAATAAATTTTCACATTTTCATGGCAAGCTTTCGCACTTGGATGCATACTATTACTCTTAAATTCTTTTTTTCTAACAATGCCATGGATTGACCGCCACAGGCACGAGCACGAGGGAGCAGGATGGGAGGGGGGGTCACCCCCTTGGCGACTTCAGAATTCAGAAGGAGGGGGGGGGGGCAAAATCTGCCCAATGCATTTACCTAATAGGTAGGGGGACGCTTCGGTTAACATCTCTCCTTCCTTGATGGACTGCCTTGCACATGTCTATGTTGACCGCGACCACTGGTTTTCTAAATAATATAGACGCACCTGTGATCTCACTGTGTGTGGGTATTTTTTGTGTTGCCTTGTGAAGTGCACACAATTACACATATATTTGCAAAAGTCACTTTAACACTCGCATTTAACGCTTACCCTTTGTCTCAATAATAGATGATTTAGCTTGCACTGCTTATTTACCGCACGGAAAAATATAGGTAACACCTCCGCATCGGCTGAAAAGTGTGCTCGAATGGACGTCACCGTACGGTGAATCTTCGTACTTCACTGGACTATACGAAGTTTATCGTGCAGAAACGAATACCGGGTCTGTGGAAACACAATGTGTGGGTGACAGGCGTAATGTACAAAGGAAAATGCTGAATAAATAATTGTGCCTTTTAAAAACGCTTTACCCCCCCCCTCCCCTACAGCACCTGAATTGGAGACTGTTTGATCGCCACGCCGCATTGGCTTACACCTGTCAGCAAGGATTATCTGACGCACTAAAATTCTAGGTTGACGGTTTGACTGTGCAGTGTCTCTGCGAGTGCAAACTCCGTGTTTAGTACTAAACACCGCCGAATTGAGTGCGCAGGCGAGGCTGGAAATGTTTGAACTTCTGAACAAAGCGGTGCAGAGTGGTGCGAGAGCAGTTCACATTGTAGAAAACAGATTTGAAGATGGAGCTCGGAGGCGAGGAAGAAGAAGCAGCCAGGGTCACGCTCTGCACATTTTTTTTTGTTCTGTCAACAATAAACCGAAGACGTATCGGTTATGCGGTCTCTCTGGTCCTTCTGAAACATGGTGCCGTGACCAGGATTGATTTGAAGACAGACGCAGAGACTTCAACCCCATTCGCAACAACGGGTTGAAGAACGAAGCAGTGGCGTCTGGCTCAAGGACTAACCGTCGAGAGAAGGACCACGACCGACGACTGTTGGCGACGCACATAAAAAAG